CCCCGCCCTGCAGCACCCCGGCGGGGAGGGAGCTGCTTTCCGCCGGCGCCCCGGACCCCGGGTGGGGGGGGTGGAGATTGGGCGCGCGCCAACGGGGCTGCTGGAGGAAGAGAGGAGAGCCGAGCGGGCCGCGGGAGGAGGAAGAGGAGGGAAAAGAGGAGGAGGGAGTGGGAGGCGGCGGCCGGGCTCGGTCCTCCCGCTCCGAGCGAGGCCACGTGCACGGGGCACCCCCAGGGAGGGCGGCAAACCGTGGCGAAGCGCTGCGCGCCTCTTCGGCGAAGCTACCTGGGGCACGGGCCAGCGCTAGGGAGACCCTGGAGGATCCCCCACCCCCACCCGAGCCCCGACCGCGGGCTCCAGGATGGGGCTGCTGGCTGCGCGCCGCGCTGCCCACGTCCTTGCTCGCGCGTCCCAACTACTTGAGTTCAAGTTCGCTCGGCCACCGCAGCCAAGGCCTCCCCTTCCTCCCTCCTGCCTGCGGGCTTGGCGGGCCGCGCCCACCCGGGGTGCGAGGGTCGGCGCCCCAGCCTGGGCCTGGGGCGGCCTGGGTGTGAGGGAATTTTCCATTCGTTCCTTTCTTGGGCCCAGACCGGTTGAGTGCTTCTCCCACTGGGATGTTCCCGCGGCTTAAAGAGTCCGCCGCGAGCCGCGAAATGTCCTTCCCAGGGCGGCTTTTCGGGGCTGTGCATGTGTGTGAGGAGGGTGAGGGGTTTGCCCAAAGGGCGGACAGAAGATACAGTTGAGGAAAAAAAAGTCAGGGTTCTGCAGCGCCGGTATGAGACCTTTAGCAAATGAGAGAGGGAGAGGGAGAGAGAGTGAAGCGGGAGGAGGAGGAAGGTGGGGGGCGGGGGGTGTGGAGAGGCTGGTGCAAAAGGAATGCGCGTTTGCTGGAGGAGGAGGAGTAAAGCGATGATTGTGTAATTAAATAATAAAACAATCCTTAAGTCTGATTTGGAGAGAGCTCGAGCGGGGTCCAGAGGGTGGAACCGGTGAATTTTTCAACTTCCAAGTTTTGCAACGAAAGAAAGCGAGAGAGGGAGGGGAAAAAAAGCGCCCGGAGCAGAAAAGAGAGCAGTTTGGAGCCGAGCGGGCGAGCGGGAGTGATCGTTTGGGATTTTTCAGGAGAGCGTTCCAATCCCCCTGGGTTGTGGGCAGCGGCGGCAGCAGCAGCCTCGTCGCTCGGCCGGGTCAGCCGCGGGGCGAGGCGGGCGGCCGGCCACGAAGGAGCCGGCGCGG